CGGCTTATAATAGAGTCAATGTGTTTCCCTGAACATGAGGAATAACTTCCTAACTGTGAGAGCTGTTCAGCAGTGGAACTCTCTGCCCTGGAGTATGGTGGAGGCTTTGAAATAGAGACTGGATGGCCATCTGTCGGGGGTGCTTTGAATGCAATTTTGCTGCTTCTTGGCAGAAAGGGGTTGGACTGGATGGCCCACGAGGTCTCTTCCAATTCTATGATTCTTTAACAATAATAGAGAATAATAATAATAATAATAATAATAATAATAATAATAATAATACAGTTAAAATAATACATGTAATAAAATAATAATAATAGAATAAAATAATGTAAATGTAATACTGATAATACTAAATTGTGTAAAATAATAAAAGTAGTAATAATAATAAATACAGTAAAATAATGTAAATGTAATACTAATAATACTAAATTGAGTACAATAATAAATGTAGTAATAATAAATAAAGTAAAATAATAAATGTAATAAAATAATAATAATAGAATAAAATAATATAAATGTAATACTGATAATACTAAATTGAGTACAATAATAAATGTAGTAGTAATAATAATACAGTTAAAATAATAAATGTAATAAAATAATAATAGAGTAAAATAATGTAAATGTCATACTAATAATACTAAATTGAGTACAATAATAAATGTAGTAGTAATAGAGTAAAATAATGCAAATATAACAATAATATTAAATAGTAAAATAATAATTTAATAATAATAGAGTAAAATAATGTAAATGTAATAATAATAATAGAGTAAAATAATAAATGTGATAATAATGAAGTAAAATTATTATTATTATTATTATTCGCTGATATATCACATAGTCATAGAATCATAGAATCATAGAGTTGGAAGAGACCTCATGAGCCATCCAGTCCAACCCCTGCCAAGAAGCAGGAATATTGCATTCAAAGCACCCCCAACAGCTGACCATCCAGCCTCTGTTTAAAAGCCTCCAAAGAAGGAGCCTCCACCACACTCCGGGGCAGAGAGTTCCACTGCTCAACGCTCTCACAGTCAGGAAGTTCTTCCTCATGTTCAGATGGAATCTCCTCTCTTGTAGTTTGAAGCCATTGCTCCACTGTGTCCTAGTTTTCCAGGGAAGCAGAAAAAAAGCTCGCTCCCTCCTCCTCCTCCCTGTGGCTTCCTCTCACATATTTATACATGGCTATCATATCTCCTCTCAGCCTTCTCCTCTTCAGGCTAAACATGCCCAGCTCCTTAAGCCGCTCCTCATAGGGCTTGTTCTCCAGACCCTTGATCATTTTAGTCGCCCTCCTCTGGACACATTCCAGCTTGTCAATATCTCTCTTGAATTGTGGTGCCCAGAATTGGACACAATATTTCAGATGTGGTCTAACCAAAGCAGAATAGAGGGGTAGCATTACTTGCACAGAGCATTTATATATATACATTATTCATCGATATATCACATAGTCCTAGACACTTGGGAAGTGTCCGACGTGTGATCCAATACAATAGCCAACAGTGTGATCTCGTTTGCTGTGGACTCATCATGTAGTGTTTCAAATAAGAATAATAATAGAGTAAAATAATGTAAATGTAATAACAACAACAATAATAAGTAGAGTAAAATAATAAATGTAATAAAAATAATAATAGAGTAACATAACGTAAATGTAATAATAATAGAGTAAAATTATTATTATTATTATTATTATTATTATTATTATTATTATTATTATTCTCCAATACATCACATAGTCCTACACACTTGGGAATTGTCTGACGTGTGATCCAACATAGCAACCAGCATAGTGATCTTGTTTGCTGTGTAGTCATCTTGTTGTCTTTCAAATAATAATAATAATAATAATAATAATAATAATAATAATAATAATAATAGAGTACAATAATGTAAATGTAACAGTAATAATAAATAGAGGAAAATAATAAATTTAATAACAACAATAATCAATAGAGTAAACTAATAAATGTAATAAAAATAACAATAGAATAAAGTAATGTAAACGCAATAACAACAATAATAGAGTAAACTAATAAATGTAACAAAAGTAATACTAGAGTAAATTAATGTAAATGTAACAATAATAATAAATAGAGTAAAATAATAAATGTTATAAAAATAACAAATAGAGTAAAATAATATAAATGTAATAAAATAATAATAGAGTAAAGTAATTTAAATGTAATAATAATAATAAATAGAGTAAAATAATAAATGTAATAATAGTAATAGAGTAAAATGATGTAAATGCAACAATAATAATAAATAGAGTAAAATAATGAATGTAATAAAAATAATAATAGAGTAAATTAATGTAAATGAAACAATAATAATAAATGGAGTAAAATAATAAATGTAATAAAAATAATAATAGAGTAAATTAATGTAAATGAAACAATAATAATAAATGGAGTAAAATAATGAATGTAATAAAAATAACAAATAGAGTAAAATATAAATGTAATAAAATAATAATAGAGTAAAGTAATTTAAATGTAATAATAATAATAATAATAAAGTAATTTAAATGTAATAATAATAATAAATAGAGTAAAATAATAAATGTAATAATAGTAATAGAGTAAAATAATGTAAATGCAACAATAATAATAGAGTAAAATAATGAATGTAATAAAAATAATAATAGAGTAAATTAATGTAAATGAAACAATAATAATAAATGGAGTAAAATAATGAATGTAATAAAAATAATAATAGAGTAAATTAATGTAAATGAAACAATAATAATAAATGGAGTAAAATAATGAATGTAATAAAAATAATAATAGAGTAAATTAATGTAA